CCCATGTGAAAGATCAGAAGACAAAAATGAAAAGTCCCACCCCTCCGGTAGGAGATAATTAGGAAGAAAACTCCTTCACGTGCCAAGGATTCAGCAAACCAAAGCATAATTAAGTAAAAACAGCACCCTCGATGTCTCAGATGCCTTTATTTTCATTTGCTGAGAATTTTTCTTTTTAGTTTACACAACCTGCAAGATCTCTGTGCATGAAAACATTTTGTGCTTCATACGCAGCCTCACAGAACTTTAAAAAAGACTTACAGATATAAAAAAAGGATTTCTTAGCTGTTACTGGATATTAAAAATTCAAATTAAGACCTAAAGGTTTTTAGATTGGGAGCAAGAGAAATACTGCTGTTCTTTTCAGTTTCGGCAGAGTGCTCATGGTCTCTATTTGGGCTCCTAATAATGCAGTACCTTCAAATTTTTCCCAGCTGGCTTAGCTATCTGCATTTCAGTGGCTGGCATAAGGCTATGTTAGTTACAGCTGTGCAGCACAAGATCTGTGGTCAGTGACAAAATGCAGGACTGCCAACTGGAAAAATCCTATAGGAATGGTTTAGCACGCAAGCTAGTCAGACAGAGATCAGATGAACAGCCGTGCACACAAGGCAGGTGGACAGCAAGAGGTGGCTGGAGGGCATGTGTATTTAATCAGATCCTGCTGTGAATGTTCTGCTTTCACCGTTTCAAGAGGAAACCCGCTGTCAGCACAACAGGTCCTTCCAGATTCGGACAACTCGGCAACACCCTTAACAAGTGCTTCTGAGCTCGCCGATGTGACCAGGAGTTGCTCCTCTCGAGGAGTTCATTATAAGAGCATCAATACGTCTTTTACGAGGAGCAAAAGATCACTTGGCACAAGGCCTCTTTTTCTTGACAGCTGTGAAATGCAGAAGTTTTACTACAGTTGCTGGAAGTGAAAACAGACTTCTGCCATATGGTTCAAGTCGCTGAGCTGTTACTGTACCGTTACCCATGAACTGAACGGCACTGTAAAACTTTTGCAAAATAAAAAGAAAATGTATAAAAATGTGTGCTAATGTTGGAGGTTTGGCTTCTTTGCTAGTACTGTCCAGGACATAACGTCTGTGACAAAAGTTGCAATGATGTTCTCAAGTAAAGGGCAAATATGAACAAATTCAATTGTCTGGTGATGTAAGTATGATTGATGTACTGTAAATATACAGAATATTATAGATATATATGCAGACACACTGATCTGAAAAAAACATTCAACTTAAAATGTATGGTATGTTTTTCTGATATATTACATAACTTATGACTCCCCATAAGAAACCTTTTTTTAAAAAATATGGGGGAGGGGGTTCTGAGGAACCTGAGTAATGTCGAATCTGTCTTCTTTCTTGTCAGTTTTCAGCTTTAAGTCACGAGAGTTCAGGACGTTATCAAGAAGTATGCATCAGCCTACATGAGGAAATATCCCCACCTGTCTCAGCCTCTCAACAGGCTTCTGCACTTCTGCAGAAGGTTACAGGACTGCCAGAGCTCCTGTGT